AAATTTTAAGCACTAGAAACCAATAAGAAAATTACCATCCAGTCATACACACATAAATAATGAAAAAAAACTTTAAGAGAATTAAAATATTATATTAGAAAATAGTTATCCAATGTTAAAGAAAGCTATATTGGGGGAATAGAGAGGGCAAAAATATGAAACAAATCTTCTATAGCAATTGTAATAATAAGTAAATGGATTGGGCTGGGGTTGCAGCTCAGTGGGAGTTCTTGCCTAGCATGTGTGAGGCACCAGGTTCAAGCCTTAGCACTGCAAAAAAAAAAAAAAAAAGCTGAACGAATAAAGGCATGCTATCCATCTACAAATATATATATATATATATATATTTAATGTTAAAAATTGAGTAGGCTAATCACCTCAAAACAAAGAATATATTGTGAGATTGAATGAATAAAAAGATCCAAATATATCCTTATGTTATATACACCTTAGATTCAAATATACATATACATTGAATGTAAAATGATGCAAAAAGATACATTGTGCAAACAGTAACCTGAAGATAGCTGAACACAATACCAGACAAGAAAGACATTAAAGGTTTCTAAAAATAAAAAAGAACATTTTATTATGGCAAAACAATCTGATAAAGCTATCAGGAATATATAACAGTTACAAACATCTATATACTTAAAAAATGTGCCCTAAAATTCATGAAGCAAACATTACATCGAGCGAACTGAAAAAAGAAATTAACAATTCAATAATAAGGATATCAATTTCGCAATGTTGATAATAAATTGAACAACTATGCAGATCAACAAAGAAATAGACTTGAATAGCATACTAAACCAACTAGACCTAATAGACACTTATCCAACAAGAGAAGAACATACGTTCTCTGCAAGTATGCACATGAATTCTCCAGGATAGACTATATTCCAGGATAAAAAAAAGTCTTAAAATACTGAAAGAATCAAAATCATCCAGAATATTTCCTTTGACCACAAAAAATAAAATTCTAAATTAACAGCTAAAAGAAACTTAGAAAATTAGTAAATACATGGAAATTAAATAACTCCCCAAAATTATAAATCCATCAAAGAAGAAACCATAAGAGACATTAGGAAATAATTGTCAAAATCCCTGGATAGGATGTTTGCTCTCACCACATTTATTAAACAATATATTAGAGATTTTAGCAATGAAAATTAGGCAGGAAAAAGATAAAAAAGCACTCAAATTGCAAAGAAAGAACTTAAACTATATATGTTTGCATGTTATAACCTTGTATATAAAAATTCTAAGAAATACACTAAAAACTTATAGATACTATTGATTGAATTTAGTAGATTGTAGGCTGTTGAAAGCAATATGTAAACAATCTAATGTATTGCTATCCTCTAACAATAAAAATTCCTAAAAATAAATTTAAAAAACAATCTTATTTCTTATAGGATAAAGTGAAATAAAATACTTTGGAATACATTTTTTAAAAAATAGATATCTTTTAGTATGAAACTTCCATGATACTGGTAAAATATATTAAAATCTAAATAAGTGGAAAAACAGCTATGTCCATAGATTGGAAGTTTTAATATTGTAAGATATAGTCCTCCACAAATTCATCTTAGGAGTCAACATATCCTTATCAACATTCTATCTGGATTTTTGTAGAAAGTGAGGAACTGATCCAAAAAATATGAGAATTCAAGGGAACTAGAATAGCCAGAATTTTTTAAACAAATAAGTACAAAGTTGGATGACTCAACCATTCTGATTTTAAAACATCTCACAAGACTGTAACATCTGAGTAAGTATGATGAAAGCATAATGAAATACATATGTATCAGTGCAATAGACTTAACATTTCATGAATAAACTTTCCTATATATGGTCAATTGATTTTCAACAAGCATGCCAATAAAAACAATGGGAAATGAATCACCTTTTAACAAATGGCATTGTGAAAACTGTCTATCAACATGCAAAAGAATGATTTTGAACCCCTTCCTTACAATATGCACTAAAAAAGTCATTCCAAATGGAAATCAGTTTTAAGAGCTGAAACTTTAAAATTATTAAGGAAAACACAGGGGTAAGTTTTTGTGTCCTCACGTTAAGTATTTTTTTTTTTTTTAGATCTGACACAAAAGTACAAGAAACAACATAAAGATGAATTAATCTTTGTTAACTTCAAGAGTTTTGTACTTTAGTACAAAAGAACATCATAAAAAAACTGAAAAAAATAAATAATAGAATGCGGGAAACTATTTGCAAATTTTATATAAGGGACTTATATCTAGAAATATATTGCACAACTCAACAATAAAAAGGTCAACTTAATTTAACATGGGTAAAAATATGAATAGACATTTCTCCAAAGATGATAAATGACAAATAAGTGCATGACAAGATGTTCAATTTCATTAGCAGTCAGTGAAATGTAAATCAAAACCATAATTAGATACTATTTCTTAGTCACTAGGATGACTATAAATAAAAAATAATTCAATAACAAGTGTTGTCAAATATTTAGATGAATTGGAGCCCTCATGTGTTTCTGATGTTTATGTAAAATGGTGCAGCCCATTTGGGGAAACATTGAACATTTCCTCAAAAGTTAAACAGAGTTGACATATGACCCAGCACACAAAACTTTCACATAATATTCATAGCAGCATTATTCATGATAGTCCAAAAGTGGAAACAACACATATGTCTATCAACTGATGAATGGATAAATAAAATGTGATATCTCCATAAAAAGGAAAATATTGAGCAACTGGAAGAACTGAATTACTAATGCATACTACTACAATATGGATTAATCTTAAAAGCATTATATAACAGATCAGTCATCAAAGAATCTGAAAAAATTCCCATTTAAATTACATATTCAGAAAGACAAATCTATAGAGACAGAGGTAAATTCTTGGTTGCATAGGGCTACCAGTTGGGGAGGATATGGGCAGTGACTGCTTATGGATATTAGGGATATTTTGGAGATCTTAAGGATGTCCCAAAATTGATTATGGTGATGGTTTTATAACTCAATGAATATACTAAAAACCATTGGACTATTCATTTTAAATGGGTGCATTTTTAGATATGAATTATATTTCAATAAATCTAATGATGATAAATCATTCACTCTGCTAGTGATAATAAAATTTTAATCAATTTATTTATCATATGTAGGCAAGTTGCTTAATGTGGAGACTATGATGTATTATGTTGTAAAATTTAATGGTACCAGATGAGTTGCTTTTCTGATAAACAAGAAACTAAATTGTGTTTTAAAGTATAGTAATGCGTATGTTCATATATTTCCATGCTTGCTTTTATGATTTAATATCATCTAAATTGAATAAAACTCCACCCTCCCAAATATTTATCAGACATAATTGTGCAAGAGTATAGAACATTTTTAAATGTTAATTGCATCAGGACCCTTTTTGTAGTATTCTCTAAAAGGAAAGTAAATGGCTGTCTAATGGAGAAAATTAATCTTAAATGAGATTCAGTTCTTTATGGCCCTGTGTTTTTATTTTATTTTATTTATTTTTTGAAAATTCATTCTTTTATTTATGATGTAATTTTTTATTTATTATTATTTCTTACATACATGACAATAGTGGAGTGCATTACATTCATAATTTCTGTGTTTTGATTTTAAGTACAATAAGTGTAATGACACCAACTGGACTTCATATTTTGTTGAGAACTTATGGGAACTTGTACCTTTATCTTTAAATTTTAAAACTCTGCACAAGAATCTGAATTGCTTTTATCACTCAGCACACATGCAAAGACAGAAAAAATTGAAAAGTATTTTTTTTCTGGGATCAGAGTCTGAAAAGAAATTATATTCATCATTTTTGAAGTTATTTCTAATTAACTATTAGTTGAATTTAATTAGATATTATCTGATTTTAATATTTAGTATAACTAATTTTAGTCAAATTTAATTAACTATATTGTTGCAACTAGAAATTAAGAAAATAAGAAGAAATAAATGGATAGTTTCTTTCTCTAATAAACCAAATTCAACCTCCCTACGCTATTCTTCTCCTCATATCATGTACCAAAACAAAAATTGCGCTTTTTAAATGTTGTAGAGTTAAAAATGTATAAGATTGAATGTCATATATAACTTTTAATTTATTGGATTGTTATAGTATGTAAATAGTATGTAAATAAACCAATCCCATATTCCATAGTTTTACTATTCTATACAACTGAGCTACATTCCCAGCACTTTCTCTTTTTTATTTTGAGACAGGTTCTTCCTAATTTGCTGAGGCTGGCCTTGAATTTGTGATCCTCCTGCCTCAGCCACCCCAGTCTCTGGGTTTATAGGCGAGTGCCACATGTGCTCAGCTTGTTCTTATTTTGAAAAGTGTATGTTTTCCTTTATCAGAAACTGACAGATTGTGATCCAAATTTCTTATGCCATTCTGCATTTCAACCAGCAATCTTGGAGTATTCCTATTAGCACTCGGTATTATTAGTTTCTTTTTCTAATCACTCTAACAGATTTGTAAGCATATTTCTTTGTAGTTTTAATTTGAATTGCTTTAGCATCCAATACTGTAAGGCCCCCTTTTATATGCTTATCAAACATATTTACATCTTCCATAGTGATGTGTCTATAAATATCTTTTGCCCATTTGTTGAATCCTCTGTTTTCTTACTATTGGTGATTTTTTTCTTTTATATGCACAAATTCATTGTCAAAAGATTTGTAAATTATTTCACTTAGTATGTGCCTTATCTTGTCTTTACATTCTTTACATTGATTTTACAGAGCAAATATAATTATAAAAATGAAATCCCATCCACCCACTCTCTGATATTTATGTTTCTCTATGAATTATTTCCTGACAAATTAGGTAACAACTGTGAAAATACTGGAAGTCTCTGATGTATTTATATAAAGATTGCTAAGTTTTCATGTAACAATATGATTTAAGTAGATAATAAAAATATGCTTTTGGAATATAAATTTTATTTTTTTGTTTCCCCCACCCCAACAGCTGCAGAAATAACTGTGCAACCAACTGTGGAAGAGGCTTCTGACAACTGCACTCAAGAATGTCTCATCTTGGGCCATTCTGATGCCTGCTGGATGCCAGCTTCTCTGACCCATTCCAGCCCTTCACAGGCACAGACCTCTGCTCTATGCCACAGCCCACCCCTGACACAGGCATCTGCTCACCACCTCAGCCCTCCAGTGACACAGACCATTGCTCTCTGCCACAGTCCTCCAGTGACCCAAGCTATCGCTTTGTGCCACAGTCCTCCAACAGTACAGGCCTCTGCTCTCCACCACAGTCCTCCTCTAGCACAGGCCACTGGACTTCACCACAGCCCACCCCCCACACAGGCCTCAGCCCTCCGTTACAGCCCTCCCTTGGCTCAGGCTACTGCAATTCGCCGCAGCCCGCCTCTGCCACAGGCTGCCTCTCTCCACCGCAGCCAAGTCCAGCCACCAATGGGTTTGCAGCAAGGTTGGGTGCAAGGTGCTGGAGCTGATGGACTGCATTCTCTTGATCAGGGAGTGCAAGGTAGTGCTAGATCTCAGTTTTACACTATGTCTGAAAGACTTCATCCCAATGATGATTCAATTAAAGTCATTCCCTTGACAACCTTCACACCAGGCCAACAGGCCAGACCCTCTAGGGGTGATTCCCCCATTATGGAAGAACATCCCTTGTAAAGTTAAAATAGCTATTTCACATTTTCAGACAGATGTATATATTCAAAGTTGAAGATCCAATTTCAAGGAATATTCCAAATTGCTAGGTTTGTAAATAGCTCTGTAAATAGAAACAGATACCAGAAAAAGACTAGAGCTAGACCCTTAGTCAAAAGTTAAAAAATATATTTAAAATTTTTAATTGAGAATGTGTTTTAAAATGAAACAAAATTTAAAAATTCACATCCCTTTGTACAGCAAGGCTTATCATGACAAAAATTAATATGTAGTGTATACTATTTCTGATGTACTGTTTTTTTTTTCATTTTTTACCATGTGCAATATTACTGATTTCTTCCTTTCTGATTTTCATGGACTCAGTAAGTAGCAAATGGAAAACTAGAAAATATCTTATTTTCCAAGTTTATCTTTAGTTTATCTAAACATTGGTTCAGATAACATTAAAAGGTATAAGTACTATAGAATTTTTGTTTGCATTTTAATTTGATTTTTGTTAATTTTTTGTCTCTAATATTTTGTTATTAGTGTTTCTATCTTCAAAAATCTACACTAGGTAGTGTAAATAGCTCTTACAGTTTTGTCTGTCACTGTTTTTCTTATGTTTTCTACCTTTATTTCAAGAATATATTGATATAATTTGTACACACATTTTCCAAACAGAACTTATAATCTGTACAGATCTATAAACCTATTTCTCTACTCTTTAGTAGAGTTCGAGACATTAAAGTGCAATAATATGCCCATATTAGGCAACTATTTGCCAAAAAGGGCTTATTTTTTTTTTAAAAAGAGAAAATGTGTATCTTTGTAGGTAGTGTAATGTACATCAGAAATAATATCATATCTGCCATTTTAAGCCTATATTCCATCATTAATTGGAATTTGTATATAAAAATCATAAGGAAGGTAGATGCATTCAATGCATGGTTGATTTACAGCTGTTGTTGTAAACTACTCTTTGGTAGAAACAATCAGAAAGATTTAAATGATGATCTGACAGCTCAATAGGCTGTTCCAAAAGATGTACAGTACAAAAGACAAACAAAGGAAACTGTAGATAAAACCCTCTACTAAACATATAAGACTAAGGGATTTTTGTCATTCTAGCTCAATTTACTGAAGAAAACCACTGATTAACAAGATGAAAGTCAGAAAGGAACTTTTCAATATACGTAATTATAAATCTACATTGATAGTATTACATTAGAGAATTTCCAGCAGATGTGCAGAGGGAGAAATAAAGTTCATGACTGCTACTTGGGGTAAATAAGAAATACTCCAATAACACACACACACACACACAAAAAAAAAATCCAACAAAATCTCATATGAAACAGAATATGTCCTTCTAAGCAAAGAATACAGTAGTATTCATAGGAAACAGTAGTTTTCTTCTGTTGTCTATTCTTTATTTTTCTGTGTTTTACCTGCTCAGCTGATCATTATCTTCTATGTGCACATTTCATAAATTAACAGAAACATCACCAAGTTAACTTTCCTCCATAACAAAAGCAAGAAAATGTCTTGTTTCAGTATCACACTAAACCAAGAGATCATTAATCTTTTATGGGGGGGAGGGTCAATATTTCTTGTTGATTAAATTAGATGTAGACTTTGTAATGTGTAACTTGAAGATATGTAATTTATGATTAAACAGTGTGTAAATGTTGTAATATAAACTGTGGTAAATGTATAATTTCATTGGTGAAGGATTCTACTGGATGTTGAGAAAGCTTCTCTTCATGTGCCCAGCAGGTTAAGTAGCGTTTTGAGAATATATATTGTTCCCATTGTGAAACAGTTTAAATTGTATTTGAGTTGGTGTATAGAATAACCTCTTAACTTTTAACTAATAGAGTTTAATTAGTGAATTTTCAAATTAATTAGAACTATTTTTTCCTCCTTTGTGTGTGTTAGTGTTCCAAGTGATTTGGAGCATATTGGTTTTCCAGGTGCACATGAATATTTGAAAGTTTATTGAAATATGATTAAGTGTATGTGTTGATATTGTTGTTGCTATTGCTATTGTTGATGAAGAATCTAAACCTGGGGAAGATAAAGAAACCCAGAATGACAAAATCAGTGCTTCCAGTAGATTTTAGAACATTTTTTTTTTCTTTCAAAAATTGCAGATTGTGTGAGAATTTTTTTTCTTGTATTTCAAATACTTCCACATTTTCCTCTCTATTTACTTTAGTTGTGATCTATACATGCTCAAATTTTAAAGTAGATAAAAAGAGAAGCTGAAAAATTATTAAAATTTTATTGTTAATCCTAATGATTACTCTCTTGTTAATGAAAAACAGAAATCAAAGTTGTATAACTTGGGAAATTTTTCTGATAGTGCAAAGTATGGATTTACTAGGAAGGCTCTTAAAAGCTCATGTCTAAAAAGGTGTAAAGTTTTGATACCTTTCCTAGAAATATAGGAATGAACAAATATGCTTTTATTACCCTTTCTAACTCTGATTTTGTAATCAGACTTAGATTGTGTTTAGAATATTAAACAACTGGGCACCCTCTTCTGGGTTTGTACCAGAGAGGAATTGAATGGAAGCAGGCTGGAAATAGCCAAAGAGGCAAGGGGTGTGAGCCCAGTTATTCTCCCCTATGCATTCTCTTTCTAAGCTTCCACTAAGTCTGGCCTTGGAGAACTGTAACTTCTGGGGCTTCAGATTTGATGAGATCTTTCTCATCACCTTACAATTTTTTTCTTTGGATGGATAGAGCTGTAAGTTGACAAAGCTCACAGGTGGCTCTTCTGATATGCAAAATATCTAGTTATAAAACTGCAAAATGTCTTAGTTTACTATCAATCAAGAAATGTTTCCCTCAGAAAAAGGAAGATCCAATTTGGTTTAAAATTAGAATTTCAATTTGAATGATTTGATACTGTAATAAATGTTCAGCCATATTGGTTATTCTGTTTTGTGGCCATATTCACCTACATTTTGATCATTAATTTTCTAGTTATAGCATTAATATACCACATTTGTAAGTATGCTGTCACTGTATCTCATATGCTAAATATAGACACATTAATTTCTTGAACAAGTTCTACTAATATTGTGTCAGTGTATTAAAACTAGCTTTTACATATAATACCAACCATGTAATAAACTTAGAGAGTACATTTTGCATAGTCTCATTTTATAATTTAACATTTTACTTTTAATTATGTAAATTTGATTAGAAAAATTATTATAAAATGATTAGTGCTATTGTGTAATGGTGACAGTTATGAAGAACATCTGCCTTCCCAAACTCATATTTGTCACACACTTTCATTAAAATGGGGAAAATGGACTAAAAAGAAATTGCAGATTGGGCAGTCCTTAAAATGTAATCACATCGCACTCAAAAACACCTTTTCAGTCTTGGGTAAATTTAGAAATTCAGTGGGTTTTACTCACAAACATTTTAACATTATTTTTTTTTTGTCTGTATTAAGGCTGAAATGTGCATATATTTCCTAAATACACTTGTAAAAATCTACAAGTTTAGGTTTTTATTTATTTATTCTCTTCATTTTGTTTTCCACTGTGATTATAATTTCTTGTTTTTCATCTTTCATATTTTTTGCCAACCAAATTTATAGCTATGTTAAGGTAAATTTTTCTCACAATTACTAGATATAATTTTGGCTATTTTCAACTAGCTCAATTTGCCTAGAAAACATGGAAGCAAGAGAAAATGAGCTATATTTAGATACGAACCATTTATATTATGTGCCAATTGCCACACTGGAGAAATTTCATGCAGAGGCCTTAAAGTATTCATTCACACTAGATTTCTTATACTAACCATCCTTCTGCTTTTCATAGATATGATTTTTAAAATCAGTGAAAGTTGACAACAGCAGGAGTAGAAATGAAAAGGCTGCTCAAAAAAAATGTGTGTGCACAAATGAAAAAAATGAAGGCAATTGTGTAGTGATTATATGTGATGCTTTTAGGAATAAAATGTGTAAAATTTATGCTGTCCCTACTTAAAATATTTGGAATTTTATGAAATATGTATTTATGTTTGTGTTTTTGGAAGATTCCTCCTCTATGACATCATACAGTATCTGAAAGTGAACAGTATCTCAAGGCAGCTCTAAACATGCTTTGGACGTGAGATGGTTGGATATTCTATGGCCCAGGATGGCAGTATGTAGTCCAGCGGCAAATGTGTATTAATGTTCTATTTCAGGTTCTGTATTGCATGTTTTCTTATTCATTAATATAGATAATAATAAAATAATTATGAGAAATAAGAATGCATTTTAATGTGTATGTTCATTAACCAAAAAGCAAAAGTTTTATTTTATGTTAAATTGGTTTTTAAATTTATATAGAGCAAAATACAATTTTTGCTGGTAAAGTTCTGTGAGATTTATTACTTTCTTATTTACTCTTACAACGCATTTAATATAATTCTATTATTAAACCTCATTTCAGTCACTTTTTAATGTTGAACAATAGTGTAATGTTTTCAAACATTTATTTTGCATCTTCCATGTAAAACGAAAGAGGTATTTATTTATTCCACATTAGTCCCATTTAATATAAAAGCCACCTAAGGACTTATCTGTGCAATCTGAGGAGATCCAGGTTATATAAGTTTCTGGAGAATGGTAGTAATATTTGTGAAACAAAATAACTTCACTCCTTGTTTCATTTTCCCTCTGGCTTAATGGAGAGAATCCTAGAATACTGAAATTTCTCAAACGGTACAATATCACTAAATATGCAATTTATATGGCATTTTTATTAACCCTGAAATTTGATTAAGGATTACAAAATGCATATTCTAGTGCTTTTTTCCTGTTCTCTAATAGATAGATTATACTAAAATCTTAATAGAAAATATTAAGCAAATGTGCTCCCCTTCTCATCTTTAAAAAATAAGAAAGTGAGTGCTGGAGTTGTAGCTCAGTGGTAGAACCCTTGCCTAGCACGTGTGGGGCACTGGGTTCAATCTTCAACATCACATAAAATAAACAAACAGATAGATAGATACATAGATACATAGATAGATAAAATAGAGGTATTGTGTCCATCTATAACCAAAAATATTTTAAAAAATAACAAGTTACTGGTATTTTACTAATGTTCCCCAGATTAATTGTATAAGATTTTAGCAAATAAGAAAGCAATTAATCCAATGCATAGGTTAAATTTCACTTGGTTTCATGTGGAACACCATTAACTTCCTATTCAGGAATCTTATCAAGTAGAGGGAGATTCAGAGAAACTGGTGATACGGAGACAAATACAATCCAAAAAGTTAATTTTCATTATTTCTGAAGTTGGAGACAAAATTTGTTAGAGTCTGACATGTTTTACTTTCTTCAGAGTGGTGCAGAAATGATTTATTATTATGTGATATGTTGATGAAGTTGCACTTTCTCTATTAGAAGGTAATCACTGGATTTGTCAAGAAATAAATACTTTTGAAGATATGACTGAGAGACAACTATTCACTGATTCCTTAACTCTTTTTTCAGTTTGTGCCTAATTGACCCTTTGATACCACATATCTGGAAATTATAAAAATTTACTATGAAAACAAAATTCTAAAGATAGGAGAGGGTAGAAATTTTTCATGAAAGAAAGACTTTGTGGCCTTTATAATGTCTCCATAAGAACAGCTCATATTTATAGAGCAAATTACACTTCAAGAGCCCCCTTCAAATTTCCCATTGCATCATTTATTCATAAGACTAGAAAAAATAAATTACTGCATGACTTATATGAGTATCAAAATGATAATTTGTGTCACAGTATATTTTTCTCTAAAAGCATTCATGTGTTCAAACACAATGAAACTAAAATCCTTAGACATATGCTGCTCTTTTACCAATACTGAAAGTCATTCTCCTACAGATTACAATTCATTTACATGCCTGGAAAGGAGAATTTGTTTAAAGAAAAAATTCTTAGCTCTCTGATTAGTTTTAGCTTACTCACTTGTGCTCACTAAAGTGTCAAAAATTTTAGCATAAACATGCCTGTTTCTTGCCCAGGAATGACACTGAAGGAATTGAACTTTAATTATAAAGAGCAAGGACATGAAGTTCATTTGGGTTATAGTTTGGATCTTGAATGTCCCCCCAAAGACCTATGTGCTAAAGGCATGGTTCCCAATGTGAAACTGTTGGGAGGTGGTAAAAAGTTTGAGAGGTGGGCCTGAGTGGGAGGTCTTTAGGTCAATGGGGGTTTGCACTCACAGGGTATAATGCAGCTCTGGCCCTTGGCTTATGATATGAGCAGTTTTGCTCTGCAACACTCCCACTGTGTTTTGTTCCCTTGTCACAGGCCCCAAATGATAGGGTGAACCATGGACTGGAACCTCCAAAACTATATGTGTACTATGTGTACTATGAAACAAATGGATAAATTCAGGGAATAGATTTTTTAATTCATAAACTCTTATTTTCTCTGAGATAAAAAATGTCACACTATTATTTGTAGTAAAGTCAAATGTACTGATCTCATGATGGTTAGTTTAACATTTTAACTTGAGTAGGCTTCAGTGCCAGATATTTGCTGACCCACAGGTCCTGATGTTCTTGTAAACGTATTTATTTTTTAGTTGAGATTAACTTATCAATTAACACATTTTGGGTAACGTGAATTATTGTTCTTAATGTGTATGGGGGCATGGGGTTATCAAATTAATTTAAAACTTTAGAGAAAATGACCTTCTCCAAAGAAAAGTTTGCCAACAAATTGCCTGCCTCAGTCTGGCTGGGCAAAATAACCGGGGGTGGGGTGGGGTGGGGTGGGGTGGGGGGGCAGTGACAAGCAACTTGTGAAGATTGAAACAGAGGGAGCCTCTTTATTGTAGGACAGCAGAGGTATATATACATAACTGAATACACAGCTTGACTCAATTTAGCATCATCCAGTTACAGCAATCAGTCATTAAGGAATCCTCATCATCTTAATAATTACACAGAGCTTAACTTAATTGACATAATCTAGACATAGCAGTCAGTCATTAAGGAATCTCCATCATCTTAATGGCTCGCTGGCATTACTTCTCAAACCACTCCTCCTGGCAAAGTGCCAGGCGCCATCTTGACTTGTCTGTGGCCCTCAACAATTGCCTTCCCATTTGAGCTATAGCATCAATTCTACCCTGGGTCTACTATTCATATTTTGAACTTGCCAGCCTTCACAAGCTTGTAAATCAATTCCTTAAAATCTCAATCTCTCTCTCTCTCTCTCTCTCTCTCTCCTTTTATTCTGTTCTCCCCAGAGAACCCAGACTGATACAGATTTCAATTTAATAAAGCATAAAACATCTTAAACAATTCTTCCTAAATATGATCAGGCTTAATAAAGTAGTGTTCCATGGAGCATTCTTGTTCTGACAGAGGTATGTTCTTTCAGTACATAATTTGGCATAGCTAGAATTATCTTTCTGCAGAATTGCTAAGTGACTGAATTCTTAGGGTTTAAAATCATAGAAATCTGTACTCAAATATCAGTTCTTCCACATGAAATCTAGGTTAGTATAGAGAAATTTTTGAACTTTGAAATATCTTTTCCATATTTTAAAAATAAGGCTAATATTCTGAATGTTTTGAAAAATATTGACAATGTTGATTTATGAACTTTGGTTGGAAGTACTAAATGGTGAAGAAGAAAATGAGAAAAAGTTTTCTCTGAAGTAATACCTACATATAATTCACCTCATTAGATTTAATTTGTAATTCAATAGAGAGTAAGATGAAAAGAATGAATAGAAGAAAATCAGTTGAACAGCCCTAATCTACTCTTAGAGAGACCATCTTGGCCCTAAAGCACCTGGAATATACACATACTAAATTTTTTACTGAATCAGTTCTCTTTTGTGATACTGTCTCTATGGCAGTTCTATGCCTCTACCCCCAGACTCTCTAGAACACTATTTTTGTGAAATATTTTTGTTGTTGTTGATGGACATTTATTTATTTATTTTTATCTGGTGATGAGGAACAAACCCAATGAATCACACATGTTAGGCAAGAGCTCTACCACTGAGCTACAACCCCAGCCTATAGGACACCATTTTAAATTTACATGCAGTTAGCCATATGTACACTGTTTACTCCTAGCAATGGCACTGCGTGGATGCATCCATGGTTTACTACATATGTCTTCCAAATCATACCTCTACCTGTTTGTGACACAGTTGTTAGTCAAGGAAAATTGAAATGGAATTTGGAAAGCAAAGTCTTGAAACAATTCTGCCCCAAAGCCCTAGCATTCTGGACTGGTGAAATATGGAACAAATTTAGAGGTCTCTAAAATACCTTTTGGGTTCATTCTCCCATTGTCTTAATAAATATCAACTGATTTTCTTCTATTCATACTAATATCCTCAACAAATTTTCCTAGCTACAATTTTGGTGTTTGTTTATAAAAATCCCTTTCCATTCTTTGTGACATGGGCAGGTTGAGTATTTTCCAGGTCTTTATATTCTTATTTTTTACTAAAAAAATCTGTCTTTATTTCATTATTTATTTATTCTTTTTAGACACATATGACAGTAGAGTGTATTTTAGCATATTATACATACATAGAGTATGACTTATTCTAAGTAGGATCAAATTCTTGTTGTACATGTTGGGTAGTTTCACTGGTTGTATATTCATGTATGCATATAGGAAAGTTCTGTCTGATTCATTGTACTGTCTTTCCAATTCCTGTCCCCTAACTTTCCCTTCATTTTCCTTTCTCTAATCCAAGGAAATTTTACCCCCCCCCATTATTGTGTATCAGCATCAACACAACAGAGACAACCTTTGACCTTTAGTTTGGGGGATTGTCTTATTTCACTTAGCATGATAGTCTCTAGTTTCATCAATTTACTGGCAAATGGCATAATTTTATTCTTCTTTATGGCTGAGTATAATTCCATTGTGTATGTACACCATATTTTTTTAATCCATCTGTTGAAGAGTACCTAGGTTGGTTCCATAGTGTAGCTATTGTGAATTGAGCTGCTATAAATATTGACATGGCTGTGCCACTGTAGTATGCTAAGTTTAAATCCTTTCGATATATACTGAGGAGTGAGATAACTTGGTTAAATCGTGGATCCACTCGAAGATTCCTGAGGAATATCCATACTGTTTTCTATAGTCGTTGCACCAATTAGCATTCCCACTCTCAATATATGAGTGAACTTTTTCCTTCACATACTCACCCACTTTTATTGTAACTTGTATTCTTGATAATTGCCATTCTGACTGGAATTAGAGGGAATCTCAG